CCTTTCACTTCTGCCCCCGGCAGTCTTCAGACGCTCACAACATGGGGCACGCCAGCCCTCTCAATACCGCTTCACAGCGCACACTCTCTCTCTCTCTCTCTCTTTCCCTCTATCCCTTCTTCGCCACACACTTCCCTTTTTATCTTCTTTCTTTCTCTGCAGTCCTTCTTTTCCAGGTGTTTTTTTTTCAGGGTCCCTTTCTTTCTCCTTTCTTCTCTCAATCACTACACCCTCGTTTTTTTCAGCTTCTTTCGTCAGCTCTCTCTCTCTCTCTCCCTCTCTCTCTCCTTTCTTCTTATGTTGCTCTCGTTTGTCTTTCTGAAAATTTCTCAGTCTTTTTTTCTTTCTTTTTTTAATTTAAGCCAGTCACTCTCCGCGAATTAAGATTTCTCTAGAAGCTGAAGAAATACGATCAATTTTGAATGAAGAACATGGAAAAATCAAGGCTCGATAATTATTCGTGACACCGTATCTCGTTTCCTTCTTAGCACGAGCTTTTCCTTCACCGTGACTAGTGTTCGATCGTTCCTTGTGTATCCTTCCAAGAGAGAGAGAGAGAGGGAGAGAGAGAAAGTCCTTGGAACTTTGTTTCGTTCAAGGACTTCTAAACGTCTTCTCACTCGTATCTCCTCGTTCCGACGTAGATGAGTCTTCTTTTCCCTCATACGAAAAATAACTCTTATTTACAATGCTTCGCGCGCTGAGTTCTTTTTCTTTTTCACTCTCTCTCTCTCTCCCTTCTTATTACGTGATCCACGAATAAGCGCGACCGATTTTTGGTCACCTCTCTCCCGTTCGATTTCCCTCGTTCCCGAACTTCTTCCCGTCCTTTCAACTTATTTTCACTAGCTTACGACGATACGTTCAGTTACCACCTTCTTACTTCCTTGTTTCTATTGCTATAAGTACAGAGACGAGTCTCTCATTCAATTTCACTATCAACTTCCATGATCCTCGATGCTGATGTCTGAAATCAAACAATGCATTCCTGTTATTATTGTCAGAACTATGGCACCTAAAAATGATTACAAATTCTTGCAATGCAATAATAAAATAACTTGGGAATTCGTTCAATTTTGCATTTTCTAGAGTGATCCAAGAAACAGGGATACTGGTGTTCTCCATGCCCGCATCTCTTTAAGACTAGTTTTCACACTCCTCAAAAGCGTTTAAATGAGTAAAAATCAACACTGTTAATCAGAATTAATATACAGTTAATATATAGTAATATATGTGTAGTAATTTATTAACTATGTAACTATACAATCTCTATACCAAGATGTTGTCATCTTAAATATTATAAATAAAAATAAAGAAATTTGAGAATTAAATAATTGTGTAAACTTAGAAATTTAGAAAGAGTTATAAAAAATTTTCAAATTAAGAAATTCTCAAATTTCCAAAATGAGAATCCATCACCCATCAACATCCATCTCTAAAATAACTTATAGTAATCTTTTTATTAACCATATAATTCATACAAATATAAAATAATCTACAATTGATATTATAAACCGTATTTATCAATTGTTCTAATACCTAATTGAAGCATTAAGAAATAGTAATGTGAAGAGACTTTCTAACAGTGCTGTGTGTTTATTACAGAACGAGAGGTTAAAGAATTGATACGCGTACTTATAATCCGAGACAAACTTGTTACTAAATTTGTTACGCGTTCATCCAATTTTAACCTTTATGAAACGGACACGGATTTACTAGTGACGTATTTCGGAATCATACATGCTGTCCATACGCCATTGAACGGACATGTTACTGCTAATCGTATACAGTAGTAACTTTCTTATTCCTTACAAAAAGCAAACATGAATTCTTTAATGATACATCTCGTAAATTATTCAATATGTACACATGACAACGTAAGTTTATTATCCGAAATAAATTCGAACGGTAAGCAAGTAGAAAATTGTACCTAACCTAACAATTTTATTGACACGCTGGCTGCCATGTGGATTGCCGGCGACCGGCATCTCAAATTTTCTGCGATCGAACAATAAGCAAAAAAGAAGTAAAATTCTGAAAATTTGAATCATTTAATATAGCAATTAACATAATTCTATCGTAATAATTATAATACAGTAATAATTCTATCATAATGATCAATTTATGTTTATTTCATATAGATGTGATATCATTTATATTTAACGATATATCGTCAATAAAAAAGAATGAAAAGCGGAACTTTATCGCTGGAATCTATTTATTTTTATTTAAACTTCAAACCAAACCTAACCTAACCCATGCATATAATTTTATTATTAAAATTTGTTTATTCGTTATATTTAAACTTTAAATTTAATTAACCTACTTTCGAACAAAAATAATTAAATCTAAATGATAAATTTATATATAAATTATATTAGAAGATTAAAATTCCTAAATAAAAATAGATTCGTATGATAAAATTACATGTTATATTCTATTTCAGTTATTCCCATTCGCGTTAACGGTATCTCAATAACATATCAATATTCATTGATAACGTTATTGATATCAGCACCTCTATTTTTGGGTTTAAAGATATAACTGACCATTGAATCGATAACGATACATATTGATAATACTGAAACAATTCAATACTGAAATATTCAGTAAGAAATATCGATATGTATATCGACATTTTACTTAGTATCATTTATTGACACTATTTTTCAATCGATACCAAACATTATACTAAAATCAAAAATCACATTTTACGAAGGTATCAAAATATTCGCTTGATATTAATTAAATTAAATTTTCAAAAAATCAAACGTACAAATCCCTGAATTTGGAAGTTTTAAAATTAGAACATTTGCAAATTTGGAAATTAAGGTATTTGTATAAATTTCCCATTATTTAATTTTTTAAATTACCAAATTTCAAAGTTTATAAGTTTAAAAATTTAAAAATTTACTAAACACAAACTAAACGAGTGGTGGGGCTTCCTTCCCCTACGTCGCCATTTTCCCTAGGGAAGCCTACCATGCTTGCCAATTAATGAGTATCAGACAGGTATTGTTTACAAATTTTGTACATAGATATCAAACAGATATCGATACTATCTGGTATGAAATGAAAATACGCAGATTGGTATCAATAGTATCGATACAATATCGGTCCCAACTTTAAAGCATAAGTCACGATTCAACAACATTTAAGAAAGTAATTGTATCAACGATTGTTATCATCTTAAATCGTTGATAAAATGTTTTTAATAATGTCAATCTGATTACTTTCGAAATATATCTTACGAGTAAGCTACCCAATAAGTGTCGACGGTAAACGTGTCGCCTATTATTAGACGCGTCGTTTCCGCATACGCGCACGTAGGATGCGTTATACACAGGTTTATTTAGTGGAAAGAAAAGTAGTCTAATCGTTTAAACTTTTAATCAAACTTTTAATTGTATTTATATTTTGCAACAATTTCAGTCTAATAAAAACATAGAAATATGATAAACATATATAACAAATGAAAATTAAAAAAAGAAAGACAAATTTGCAATACTATAATTAGTGCATAAAACAATATTAAATGTGATGAGAGTATTTTCATTTTATCAATGTAATTTGAAGAAATTATTATCATGTTGTGAATCGTAACATCAATTTTGATAAGTATCTAATATCCATGTTGAACTTTAAATTAAAATAAGAAATAAAACTGGAAATATAAATTATCAGATTTCAAAAGAATGTTTCTTAACCTCTTGTTTGTACAACATATATAACTAACGTTATTACAACTGTTTAATTTTTGCTATTATCCATTGGAGTACGAAGTAGAGGACTAGATGCGGAACAGTTTCTTATTGATATAGAAATACACATTGTGAATTTTAATGTCTGAACCTCAACGCAAAAATGTACCAAACTTACTTTTTTTTCTTAAAATGACATTTTATTTCAGATATGAAATTTTGCACTCTTTCCAATGACAAAAATAATTTATTTCAGATCACTTAGTTTTTAATATAATAACGCAAAAATTGTGAAACGTATTTATATATTATCTTAAGGTATTTGCATCTTTGATTTACTTTCCTCTAAAATTTAAAAAGTATGGCTTATTAAATTCTGATTCTAGAGTCTAAATATACAGTTGTAAATTCAATAATATTAAAATACCAAACAATTCACATTAAACACTGTTTTGATGAATTTGTAATAGATGAACGTCTGCAGAAAGACTAAATAAAGTAAGTACCACAAAGAATTATTTGCGAATAGTCAGCCATATGTTAAAAAGTTGTTTGTGAATATTCTTACTAAAATTTTAACTTCTATGTATTTATTTGAATCCTAAACAATTACAGTTTATTTATTTCTCTATGACTTACAAAACAATATATAATGTTTAACAAATGGACACTAAACAATAACTAAGTTATTGGAACAGCTAGTTACTTATCATAATCTATATAATAGTTTTTAAATATTTGTAATTTCATAACTGTTTTAGTTGTAAATAAATAACAATGTTACTAATTCATGAAAACCGGGTTTACTATTCGAAACATAATAATAATCTTCCCAAACTATGGTAATAATACATTAATACAAATTTAAATAAAATATAATTATGAAAGTAAACAATTTAAAAAAAGGAAAATGGGTTCATTATTGAAACCATAAGGTAATATTTTAATCGCATTAACTTTCATGAACTTTATTTGCTTATTTATTTGTGTCATTTATTTCATTGACAGTTTTAAAAAGAAAAGAGTAACATTATAAAAGCATAAAAAGAGTAATATTAATTAAGACATATTATCAAAATGGTTTTGAAAAGCATACTTAAACGAATTTAATATTGTTATTGTTATAATAGTTGTTATAATTTTAAGATAAGATTACTTATTATCAATATTAATGACGATGTACATTCTTATCTTATATCATTACCCCCAAGGAACTCAATAAATATATAATGTCAATATATTTATATATATACTAATTAATATAATAAAAATATAAAATCAACCAAAAGTGACACTGAAAATAGAAAAAAATACATGTAGATAAAATGATTGTTTCTAAAACTGTATAGTTTACTGTTTATAGAATTTCGTAGACATAACAATATTATAACCTGTTTACATTTTTTAGCATACACTGGAAAATATGTATAGACATAATAACCAAAAGTGAGAAATGCAAAAAGAAAAAAATATTTCAAACAACTGCATACTTTTAATTACGAAGGCATTAAATATAAATCTAAATATATAACATACAAATAATTTATAATTCATGTAATCTTCTCTTAAATAATGTAAAAACATGTATCACAATATTTTTCTTTAATCAGATTAAATATTACAGATTAAATTTTACAATGTACGATAATGCATAAAATCTCATACAAATGTACTTCATACTTATAACAATTAATATTCATTTGCCAATATAATCATCACACTATCATTAATGATTATTTAAAATAATGAAGTCACTCATTATTTTCAATTAAAAATTTAAAATAATTTTTCGGTATGGTATCTATAAAATAAATAATGCTTGGTAAATATTTATTTTATATATTTATAAATATCAAATGATATATATTTTTCTGCAGTTTAGTTCCAATAGGTAATGATTTAATGATTAATTAATTTAAATAAATCCTTCAATTATATAAAATATGTAATGGTAGATATTCAGCAATAATAAGCAAAATTACTTTTTTTAACTCATTTAAAATTAATTTAACTGTACATGTCTTTCATCAATTTAAACATAATTCAAAATTAAATTACGTTTTTCATAATTTTACACAACTATCAATATTAAATATAATTAACTCAACATAAATTATTTACAATTACACAAATAAAAATAACACTAGATGTTACTCTAATATAGTACATTATAATAGACTATTAATATTTAAATTTAAAATTATTGCTTATCACAATCTAGAAATGTTATTTTTAATTACTGCAAATATACTCTAATTACAGTGAATAATTAACCCTAATTACTGCTTAAAGAGTTCTAATTTTCTTAGTACAAAACTCTTTTCTAGACAATATGATTAATTGTTAATAAACTAAAATGCTATTTTACTTTCTTTAATTGTAATATGACCTTGAGTATATTCACTACATTAAATTGTTTAATTTCTATTGATTGCTTTTGTAGCAAATTTCGATAATAAATAAAAACATTTCGTACATCTACTAGTTAAAGGTTATATTTAGTAATAAATGCATTACTCTTATTATGCTTTTAAAAGACAACACATGTATAAGTATAAATTTTCAAAAATGTGTATTGAAGTTTACTACTTATTAATTTATTAAAATGGACAAATATAAACATAGTATACAATCCTGTTTATTACTATTTGAAAATAATAAAAGTAGAAATAGAATAAGAAATGAGAAATGAAATAATCTATGATTAGTTTTGAGGTTAAGTTATAACGATTAGTAACCTAACCTAGCAATGTATGCTTACTTATTCTACGAATCATAACGATTACAAAATCATGAATTTCTCAGCCAGAAAATCAAATTACAGAAAAACGAGAAAGAAAGCACAGAAAACTCAATCACGAAAATCGATTACCACATATATATGAATACAAACGTGTTATACATTGTTCTTAAGTCATTTACCTTTCTGTTGCGATACGGACGTTTCGGCAGAATTAACGTTAAAAACTTAACCTCAATTTTTTTTCAAATAATAAAAGCGAAATTAGTGTTTATCAATCGTATATTTTTTTTTATTTCAGCTCCCAGAAATCCTTGCTTAACTGACCTATGTTTTTTCCTTTATTACAAAAAAGTAATTAAAATATATGCATTGCAAGAACCAATAATCATTTAAACTGATATACAAAAATTATGTATAAAGTTTTTAACTCACCAAGTATTTTTCATTATCATCTGCTTCGTCAAATACTGACAAACTTCACTTCACAATACAGTACAAAAAACAAGCACAAGTGTTTTTTAACAATACTAAACTGTTAGTGAACGCTTCGTTTTCTAAAAATCTTCACTTTTCCTTTTTACTTGATAAAATCACACAAATTCCTTCATTTATTCTTCCTTGAAGTTCTTCGATCACAGTACAAAATGTGCTTAACTTTTCCTTTGGTAACCAATAGCGTGACTATAATAACAAAAGAATGAACAAATTGTAACTATGAATTTAAATATTAAATCACACAAATATGAAAACATCTACAAGACAAGATATTGAAGAATCATCTTAAGGTGGTTATATCACGACTGCCACGTTTAAAACAGGACATTAGTAAATACGATAAACAAAATAATCTTAGTCAAAAATTTTTATTACAGAGTACATAACTTTCTAAATAATACTGACACAAAATAGAATACCTCTATGATGTAAAGTAAAGAAAAAATAAATACTTTCCAAGTCAGTTAATGGATATAAATTATTAACAAAGAATACACCTGCTGTTTTCCTAGTATGTAACTTACATTATATCTGACTACACTTATGTAGTTTTTCAAGAAAATTTCAAATAGCATTCTGGCATTATATTTGAAAATATATCTCTAGCAAATGTTTTTTCTATACGAACATGTTAAATGTTATTATGATTTCTAATACAACAAGGTTAACAGGTACCCATTCAATAAACCATTTGATGCATAGGTAATAATTGATTGTTTAATAGTAATATACTGAAATAGTGAAATAGTAAAAATGATAGAATAGTAAAACAATAAAATAACAAAATGGTAAAATTACTATTAAAATAGTTCAACAATATATTAATAAAATGATAAAAAGATAGAACAGTAAAATAATAAAATACCCGTATAAAAATAACGTCTGTTCTTTTGAAAGTATATGCAAACAGGTAAGATACTGTTCGTTTAAATAGAAGAATAAAATTATCTCCGTTTTGCTATAGTTAACCTTTCTGAAATTTTACTAATATTCCGATATTATGATCGTTATTTAAATTCAATTAAACTTTTAAGAAATTTGTTAATAAAATCATATTCGTGATACAACCACCTTAAAATGTAAGCTCGACGTACGATTCACACGCCCCTGATGTACCGACCGTATTTCACACGTGGACACTTGTATCTTTTCGTTAATACGAGCGGTTAAAATGTCGGACTCCCACGCTACCACCTTCAGATAACTACACGTAATGGTTGACACTGTATGCACGGTACGGCACAGCACTATTAATTTCAAAGTAGATCCACCGTTTCTAGGAAAGAATCGGGAGGATACAACACGAGTATATCACCGTCGAAATCCTTCCATTTGTTCTAGTCACCTGTTACGAGCTCACAGGCTTGACCCTCTTCCTGGCTAAATTTTTATTTTCTTTCGCACACCATCGAGGCACGATGTAATTTCTAAACACACGAACGAACGATTCACAAGTCTTTGTTCAAAGCGCACAAGCACGAGCAAAGGGGGAAAAAAGTTAATGGCTACCGTTTGTTTTCTTTCATTCGTTCGTTCAGTTACGAATACGTTGGATCGGGTTTAATCGGGTCAAATCGGCTCGATTCAGGTTATGGCCATCGGGGAATCGAGCATGCTTTGCATGACGCAGCCCGACGACAGGTATATCACGTGGTTCGTCGCGTCCCTTTCTCAGCCGCAACGTCACCGATACAGTTCTTTTTCGATCGACTCGTTTGGGAGTCGTTGTTCAGAGTTGGTCGGCGACTTGTCGCTCTATGAATAGATACTTGAACGAATCCAGATTATTGGTGCGATCGAGTACATACACTAGTAGACATACTGCGTACACCAGATCGTGTTCTGGCGCCGTCGGCGCTGCTGCTGCGGACGGAGAAGGCCGGAGTAATAAAACTGGCTGACACCCCCGCGAAAGCGCTGCAATGAACTCGCCCGATTCGAAGGGTCAAAAGCACCGCGGCAAAATAATAACAGAACGCAGCCGCCGCCACCAGCGTCGTCGTCGCCGCCACCGTCGTCGTCGTCGTGTGGGCTGGGGGGTCAGCAGCGTCGCCGCCGTCGCCGTCACTCGGGACTTTCCTCGAACGAGCGTTCGCCGTTGTTTCTGCCGTTGCCGCCGCC